GAGGTATCACCTCACACTGGGCATAATGGCCAACAACAAAAAGTCTACAAATAAAAAATGCTCGAGAGGGTGTGGGAAAAAAAGAACCCTCCTACACTGTTTGTGGAAATGTAAACTGGTACAACCATTACAGAGAACAGTATGGAGGTTCCTTAAAAACTAAAAATAAAGCTACCATATGATCCTACAATCCCACTACTGGGCACATATCTGGAGAAAAACATAATTTGAAAAGGTGAGTGCACCCCAATGTTCACTGCAGCACTATTTAAAATAGTCAAGACATGGAAGCAACCTAAGTGTCTACTAACAGATGAATGGATAAGGAAGATGTGGTGTACATATACAATGGAATATTATTCAGCCATAAAAAAAGAATGAAATAATTCCATTTTCAGTGACATAGATGGACCTAGAGATTATCATACTAAGTGAAGTAAGTTAGACAAAGACAAATACCATGTGATATCACTTATATCTGGAATCTAAAAAAATGATACAAATGAACTTATTTACAAAACAGAAAAGACTCACAGACATAGAAAACAAACTTATGGTTACCAAAGGTGGGGGTATAAATTAGGAGTTTTAATTAGGATTAAAATATACGTACTACTATATATAAAATAGATAACCAACAAGGACCTACTGTATAGCATAGGGATCTATGTTCAATATCTTGTAATAACCTATAATGGAAGAGAATGTTGAAAAAGAATATATATATTTATATATATATGTATAACTGAATCACATTGCTGTACAGCTGAAACTAACACAACATTGTAAATCAACTAGATTTCTATAAAAAATTCTTTTTTAATATTTATTTATTTATTTGGCTGCGCCAGGTCTTAGCTGCGGCCCGTGGGATCTTCGTTGCTACTGTGGGATCTCCATTGCGGCATGCGGGATCTTTAGTTGTGGCATGTGGGATCTTTAGTTGCAGCATGCGAACTCTTAGTTGTGGCATGTGGGATCTAGTTCCCTGACCAGGGATCGAACCCAGGCCCCCTGCATTGGGAGCATGGAGTCTTAGCTACTGGACCACCAGGGAAGTCCCTCAATAAAAATTTTTTTAAAAATAAAATATAATAAACACAGAGCAGATACTGGGTCTTTAAAACAAACATAAAGCATCATTTTATCTAAAAGAAAATGGGGGGACTTCCCTGGTGGTCCAGTGCTTAAGACTCCATGCTCACAATGCAGGGAGCCCAATTCCTGGTCAGGAAACTAGATCCCACATGCCACAACGAAGAGTTCACATGCCACAATGAAGAGTTCACATGCCACAACTAAAGATCCCACATGTGACAACTAAAAAGATCCCACATGCCGCAACTAAGAGCCCACAGGCCACAACTAAAGATCCCATGTGCCGCAACAAAGACCACGCATGCAGCAATGAAGATCCCGTGTGCCACAACTAAGACCCAGCGCAGCCAAATAAATAAATAAATATTAAAAGAAAATGGGTAAGAGGACTTCCCTGGTGGTCCAGTAGTTAAGAATCCACCTGCCGATGCAGGGGACGCAGGTTCAATCCCACTAAGATCCCACATGCCGTAAGACAACTAAGCTCACATGCCATGACAACTAAGCCCATGCACTCTAGAGCTTATGTGCCACAACTAGAGAGCCCACATGCCACAACTACTGAGCCTGCACACTCTGGCACCTGCGTGCCGCAACTAGAGAGCCCGTGTGCCACAACTAGAGAGCCCATGAGTGCAACTGCTGAGTCCACGTGCCACAACTAGAGAGAAGTCCACATACTGGAACAAAGAGCCCGCGCACCACAATGAAAGACTCTGCATACCACAATGAAAGACTCTGCATGCCACAATGAAGATCCCGCATGCTGAAACTAAGACCCCCACAAGCCAAATAAATAAATATTTTTTAAACAGGTAAGAATTTTAGAGTTAAATCTTAAGCATAAATACTCTCATGTTCAATAGTTTTGATTAATTAGTAAAATAATACATAACAAGTAAGGGAAAAATACTGTTATACTTCAACAAACCAAAAATTGGCAAAGTATAAATTGTCATAATCCAAAAGAACTGATCATATGAATAAGTACATTATCTTTACTTATTTAGGAACATAATTTAAAATGTTTATAGAGTTTAGTTATTCTACTGTTGCAAAAGCATTTAAAAAATTACTTCAATTTTCAAAGGAACCCTTAAAATTCAGTTTTTAAAAATACTGATGCTAAATAAAGATCAGTGACTTGCAGGCTAAGTTACATTGGCTCTGTTGTAGTAATTAAAAATTTTAAAAACAGTATGGACTATTGCTTCAGTCACGAAAGTAAAAAGATGGAAAAAGGTTTATCAGGCAAATTCTACCAGAAGAATGCTAGTGAGACTATTAATACTGACAAAAGGAAATTAAATTAAAATTGACAAAGGAAATCCTAGAACCAAAAGAATTAAATTAACTGAGTAAAATCTAGAATTTTAGTTACAAAAAAATGTTCTAAAATCTTCTGAGGTTGGGAGGCGAAGGAGAAAGAAGTGAAAATAATCTAAAGGTCTTATTTTACTTGAATGAGGGCTAACAATCTTTTTTTCAAATACTGGAGCAATAAGTATGGTAAGTACAGGAAGGGTGTATTAACCATTAATGGAACAGACATTATAACAGAATTTCCAAATTGATTAGAGGGGGGAAATGAATGAATCACACCTTGATAACTAGCAACAATAAGGAAGAGGAAAAAAGAGAAAATAATAATGTAAAATAAATAGGATCTGGTAGGGGGAATAAAATCAATACACAGCCCATTATCTTAAAAGACAAAAGCTGTCGAATTAGGAAAAAATTAAAATTGGCAGTGACATTTTTAAGAGATACATTTTAAGCATTAGAAATATCAAGTAATCCAAATAAAAAGAGAGCAGAAGCAGTATTAATATCACACAAGCTGGAATTCAAGATTAAAGGCACTAAGCAGGATAAAGTTGGAAAAAATTTCTGAGGAATGCACACAGAAGGAAATCAAACGTGGCAAAATGGTTAAAATTAGTAAATCTAGGAGAAGGTATATGGATGTTCATTAATTTTTAAAGTAGTAATTTCCTACAAATGTGTGTTTATTCTTAAATTATTCTTTTAATGAAAATTTACTTTCATTACAAAAAAAAAAAAAAGTTGCCTAGGAGAAGGCTTCAGGGCATAAGGTAAACTGTGTTTACTCACTTACCTCAAGAAATACTACTGTTTTACCAAATGAAGATAATGCTATTGTCTACCTAGCTTAACTATGCTTATACAAATGCTCTTTCGAAATTTTTAATTTTTGTCTTTGTAAGGAAAAAAATTTCTATTTCTGTATATATTTTTTCAAATGTGGTAAGATGTGTTCTGCCTATTTTGTTTCGCTCCTAGGATACAAACAGAATAAAATTTTTGAAAGGGCAAAAAAAAGAAAAGTAAGGACAAAGAGAAACTGAAGTGTAGTCAATAAAATCAGTATAATGGATTTACAGAAGTCTAATATCTTCTGAACAGAAATGTTGACATATCCAGGAAACATATGTACAAACAGGTTGCAACCTTGGCAACAAAGAAAACCTTAACAAAATTTTAAAGACCACATTCACCAGCCAAAATCTAATCAAGCTGGAAGTATATACAAAGGTAACAAAAACCAAACAAACTTAACTACTTTGAAATTAAAAAGCATATTCCTAAACAGATGACCAAGGAAAATTTAAAAATTATCTTAAAAGGAGTGAAAAGGAGAACACTTTGTACCAATATCTATGGAATCCAGCTAAATCTGTATTTAGGGGAAAATACATCCTTTAAATGTTTTCCATATTAAAGATGATAAAAAACAAAGGGACTTAGTACTTTTCAGAAATTTTTTAAAAAGTAAATCAAAACAAACTGGAAAGAAGGAATTAAGATAGAAGTGGAAAAGAATGAAATAGAAAGTCAAAACACAATAGAAAAGATAAATAAATCCAAAAGATGGCTCTTTTAAAAGATCAATAGGCCAGAAAAAATCCAATTAAACAAAGAATGAGAAGAAGCAAAAATACGTAAGATTTGGAAACAGAGAGGAACCCAACCATAAACCCAGAAGAGATTGAAGAACAGTGCAAATCAGTGGCAAATCTGAAAGTCAAAGAAATGGACAAGTTCTTAGCAAAACAGAGAAAATTTGAAAAGATTAATTTCCAAATAAGAGATTCAAGGGGGGATTAGAGATTTACAGTTCATGAGTTCACAGCAGAGTTTTTTTGTTTGTTTGTTTTTTGTTTTTCTTTTGCTGTATGCAGGCCTCTCACTGCTATGGCCTCTCCCATTGTGGAGCACACGCTCCGGACGCGCAGGCTCAGCAGCCATGGCTCAAGGGCCCAGCCGCTCCGCGGCATATGGGATCTTCTGGGACCGGGGCACGAACCCGTGTCTCCTGCATCCGCGGGCGGACTCTCAACCACTGCGCCACTAGGAAAGCCCCCAGAGCAGAGTTTTATCTAACCTTTAAGGAAGCCATGAAAACAACTCTATGTGTAATTAACTAACCAGTTACTAAGGATAACATGTCTTCAGATAAGATGTCAAAACTTTCTCTGCCTTCATAAATGACGTGAAACTATTATGTTATTCATCTTTTCCTTTAATCAAATAAATGTGAAAATTCAGGGATATATTTGAAGTAAAGTCATTCCACAGCAGAAGTAGGTACTGAGATGCCTGGTCACATTGAGATTCAAAAGATTATACTCAGCATCTTTAGAGTACATTATCCAAAGCATGTATTCTTACGTACCTTAAAGTCAAATAAAATGAAGATGGCAAAAACATTCTTTATCCATTTGCTTAATATTTATTGACTACCTATAAATTCTAGGTAAATACAGTCATACAATTTTAAGAGAAATGTAGTTTACTTCTAAAGATAAACAAAAAAGGGAAATTTTCACTTGAGAAAACCATTAAGATGTTTAAGATTTCGAAAGCATTATGTTACTTACAACTGCAAACTCATCTCTGTCAAGCATTCCATCATGGTCAATATCACTCAACTCCCAAACCTTAAAAAGAAAAGAATTAGGAAAGATTAACATTCTTTCATTTCACGTGCTAACTGTATACATCCAATACCTAAATGGATGAAAAAGTTTTGCCTAAACATTATAACATCTATTTCTCTGAGAAATTTCAGTTATGCTGACCATTTTATTAAATCACTATTATATGCTATATTAACATTACTGTAAAAAGAAATAATAATTCTTAATACCAAGTATTTTTAAACAGAAATTCCTTTGGAAATTTTTAAAGAAAATATTTTGCTCCTCTCAAGTAACAAAACAATTATGTAACACAGTACTTTAAACAACTATAATGCTTTTTCAAAAACAACATCTCAGTTAATTCATGCAACAACTCCATGTGGTACTATAAAACCTGTTTTAGACCTGAGACTGCATGAATTATCTAGGATCATACAACTATTATTAAGTAACAGAATCAGTTTTCAATGTGAAGACTTCCAACCAAGTCCATTATTGTTTTCCCTATAATACAGAACCTCTAATCATCTGAAATAAGTGTCCAATGAACACTGTATTATTAATCATTAGCCAACTAATGTCCAGGGCATACAAAATAAATATAAAATCTAAAAGGCCCTGGTATATTTGGTCTAACTCTAGAGTAGAATCCATAGCTTTAGACCAGCTATAAACTATGTTAAATCCTTGAAATGAAGGTATTAAAGATATTCAACAAAATTTTACTTGGGACAGGAAGAGAAGGTATACTGGTAAAAGACAGGAGTGAAAATAAGCAAGTGCCTGGTCACTGAATGCCTTGGAGTTTAGACTTTTTCCTAAATGCAATGGGAAGCTACCTAAGAGGGTAACTTTTAAGTAAAAAATAACAAGATTATATTTATAGTTTAGAAATCTCACACAGATCACACAATAGAAAAATAATTAATGAAAAACAATATTAGCAAATAGCTTTAAAATTAATATTTATTGAGCACCTAAACTATACAACACTGATCCAGTAGTACTGCTGTTGTGGTGGCAAGCTGTTATCATCATGATCATGGCAGCTAGCGTTCAAAGAGTATGTACCAAGCACTGTGCTAGGTACTTTATATACATTATCACATTTAATTTGTATAACCCTACAAACTGGGAACCAGGCTAATTTTAAAGATTAGAAAACTGAGACATGGTTTTCTAATGATTTACCCAAGGTCATACAGTTAAGAAATGGTGTAACCAGGATTTGACCCCATGTAGTCTGACTAAGCAAGGAATTAAAGAAAGGACTAGAGGTTTAATGAGAGTAGATAAGGTTTGAAATATAAAGAAGGGTATTGAGAAATCATGATGGAAACAGCACAAGAGTGGCTGCAGTATGGAAAACCCAGCTGAAGATCATGAAATTATGATGATACCAATCTTACTAGACTTTCTCAGTAGTCTGAATGCAACCAGAGAGAAGGCAGATAATTAGCTTCATGCAAGGTTGGATTTTCACCAGGCAGAAGAAAAGTTAGAAAACACAGCAAAGGAAGCTAAGGATACTGACATGAAACAGTGGACCAAAAAAATCCAGGACGGATGAGGAAAAAGTAAATTCAAAAGATGGGGAAAATAAAAGAGTCTGATTTAAAGGTCTTGATGAGGTCGGGCTTCCTGGTGCCGCAGTGGTTAAGAATCTGCCTGCCAATGCAGGGGACACGGTTCGACCCCTGGTCCTGGAAGATCCCACATGCCACAGAGCAACTAAGCCTGTGTGCAACAACTACTGAGCCTGCGCTCTAGAGCCCTTGAGCCACAACTACTGAGCCCATGTGCTGCAACTACTGAAGCCTGCGTGCCTAGAGCCCGTGCTCCACCACAAGAGAAGCTACCGCAATGAGAAGCCCGTGCACTGCAACGAAGAGTAGACCCCGTTCATCACAACTAGAGAAAGCTCGCAAGCAGCAGCGAAGACCCAACGCACCCGAAAATAAATAAATAAATATTTTTTTAATTAATAAAAATAAATAAATAAAGGTCTTGATGAGGTCAAAGAATTAGTCTTGCAAGTATCTAGGAAAGAAATCTAGAAAGACAAGAAGACTCTTCAGAGAGTAGAATTTATGATTTCAGAGATGAAACTATTGCTTTAACCAGGCTGTATGATACAGCCACAGAGTAAATGGCAGATGCAGAATACTGATGGTCTCTGGAAATTAAATCAAGGAATTCAGAGGTCAGAGCATACAGCTCAAAGAAAAAAGGACCTACATAAAAGGATTATATATAGCTAATTTCAAACACGCATATGTTACAGGGAATAACCAAAGAAAGAAAGAAATTGGCAATAATTTTATATATTAAGTCAAAACACAAAAAATTCTATAATACAAGTTCAAAGTAAGATCTATGTGTTTTTAAGTGTTCCTGGTAGATACAAAATTAAAATACATAAAAGTTACATTTAGAATTTAATCTTACTCTTCCAAGAATATCCACAGGTAACTTAGAGTTGAGCAACACTGGTTTCACTTTATCACCAGACAGAAATCCGTTCACTGGGCTTAAACTATCAAAAATTGCATCATATTTGGCCTTATCTTCAGACTATAATACAAAAAAGATCAAAGTTAAATAATGGTGAAAGGAATTTAACTGCATTTTAAAAAATTGAGTCCTCAAAGAATAGACATTTTTAAAACTATCATTTAAAAAACATTTTTCACTTTCATCAAAATATATTATAGTAAATAATAATTTAAAAGTTACTCCACTCAAAAGTCTAGAATCCCCTCCATCCCTTTTGTAGCTGGAATACTATCTTTGCCTTTCTACTGTTAGGTTAAAATCAAAAGATTTTAGTGATCAAAGGGCTTTGAGAAGAGCATCTAATCCAACCCTCTCACTCAAACAGATCCAAAGCAAAACAGTAACTTTTATAAGAACACACAGCTAGTTAGTGACATTCTATGACTTTCTAAACATGGTATTTAGTTACATTTCAAACTCAAACAAATTAAAAAAAAAAAAGGAAATCATTGCCACAGAAATAGACATCAAGTTTCCCCCATTTTTCCCAAAGCAAGATTTCTTTTTATCAATAACAAGGTATTTTCTAAAATCCCAGAAAGTTATTTGTATAACATAAAAAACTATTGTTCATGATTTTCCAAGTCAAGGCCAGATCCTTACACTTTTTCAAGTTAATAGCATACAAGCAGACACAGCCATACAAACCAAAATGGTTTTCTGACAAAACTGTACACATCTATTACAGGTTATTTGATCTGCTATATTCTATTTTAAAATTACGATTTTTAAAATTTGATAAGATAGCTATAACCATTTTGGTGCCTCCAAATAACTGTAATGCAAAATACCCATTTTAGAAAAAGATTTCATAAAGAAGTGTTTTAGAGCCATAAAGAGAATTAGTTAAGTAGAACTTTTCAAACAAGAAATAGTACCAGTGGGGTAAACTACCTATTCATCAAATATTTTAGTTAATACAAGATTATGAGATCACCATTTTTAGTTTACACTATAACAGAAATGAGATTAAGCCAATACTAACTGTCATAAAATGACTGACAGAGCTGTAACATCCCTCAAGCAATTTCTAGTAGCAGTATTTCCTCCACAGTAAAAAATGAAAGTCTAATGCAGACTGCAATATATTTTGGAAGTAGGGGGAAAGGATTATGTAGGTAGGAAGTAAAGTGAAGTAGAAGAGAGAACAGTTACAAAGTTTACTTACTTTTACAGCCCATGGGAGCTCAGTTGCAGAAGTTCTGCTGATTAGCAAAGGACTACTGGTATCGTGCTAAAAAGGAAAATATAGCACATGAAAGGCTGAAATCCTCACATCAATAAACAAGGAGGGGAAAATAATCTTTGGATTTAAAAATACTCAGACAAAATGTTGGATCTCAATGCACAAAGGACACTATTTTACATTAACTCTGTTAGACCTTCACCTGAGTACAAATGAAACAAAAACTGAGTAAGCTGAGTTAGTGGAGCTAACTAAGTGACTAAGTGACTGTGGAGCAGTAACTAAAACATGTAAGTCTTATAGAAGAAATACTATTACAACTGAAATCAAGATAAAGATATCTGAATATAACAAAAATATTTATGGC